TCCCCCTTTCCTGGACCCTCATGTCCTCACACTGACTTGCCCTCCTTAAAATTTGCTTTCCTCTGTGCAAGTGGATTTGTTCCTATTAGGCCCAGATCTGGGATCCTTCTCCTGGGACACTCCTCCATGAGGCAGCTGTGGTCTCCTGTGACAGTGGGATCATTTCTGCTCACAGACTGCACAAAAAGTTCCTGTGCATGCTTGACTGAATTTGTTGCCTCTGGATTTCCACAGGAAATAACTTCCTCTATCCATGCCCTTCTTGTGTTAACGTTTCAGCCTTTCACTGTTCAGTCCTTTTATGTCATCTTCAGTTTTGGTCTCTGCTGGTTTTCAGGAAAAGCTGTAATTACCAGTCTTCTTCTCTTTTCTGGAGATGGGTGCTAGCAGCCTCAGTAGCTGGTAGGATTCACTTACATTTCAGCATATGAGACTCCAAGTAAATTCTTCTTCCATCTCCAGGGTTTTTGGGGTCCTCCAGGTCAGCTGCCTTTCAGCAATGTCAGCAGGGTGGCCTGGTTAGAGGTGAGGTTGGACTAGATGATCTTTTGAGGTCCCTTCCAACCCTTAAGATTCTGTGAAGACTCTGAGGTGTTGCAGGGCTCTGCCAAGGATTAGGAAATTGCAGGTCAGTGAAGCAGCAGGCCAAGATGTGCAGGTGGAGCTCTTAAAGGTGGAGAATTGAAATGATGCCTCAGTAGCAGAGTTTTCCACAGGCAGGTGAAGAGTCAGTTACCAAGGAGGCTAAAGGGGCTCCAGAAACTCAGGCACTTTGTCTCTCTGTGTTCTCACTGCAGTGCAGATCCAAACACTCTGGGAGGGATACCCAGGGGAACATTTTCCTTTGCAAGATCTTGACCAAAAATAAAAACGTTTGTGCCCCTGAGAGATGGACTGGGAGGTTTCTGAAACAGGAGTTCAGCAGCCCCTTAAAAAGAAAAGCAAAACAGTTTTTTTGGCCAGAAAACTGTCACTGTGGTTTTTTTCTATTCAATATAACACAGAAAGTGACAGAGATAGCTTTTGTATCCTGTCTGCACCAGAGATTTCCTTTGTGGTCCTTCAGATGGGCATGTGGGTCTAGATTTCTGAATCATAGTTAGATACCTGAAAGCTGGTGTGCTGATAGTGTGGCATTACTTGAGCTTATTTCCAGAGGTACTAATCAAACCTAGCTTCAAGTGAAGTGGGTGGGAGCAGGCAGGCATCCTCTGTGCTCAGCCCAGATGTTAGTGCATGAGCAAGGTCCTTACCAGCCCCTTACACAGAGCTGGAATTTGCAGAGCAGAAATGCCAGTTGTACAAATCTGTGTGGTCAAGAGGATTTCTGAGGCACTGTAGGTATCTGCTTGGGAAGAGACAATGCAACTTGGATCCCATCTGCTCTACATCATTTGCAAAAATGCTTTTTATTTAAGAACTTGTGAAAAATCACTGATTTCTGTAAGGCTGCTGTCAACAAGACTTGTGCCCACTTCCTAAACAGCATCTAGTTATTTTAATGCTTGCTGATTTACACCCCAAACTCTTGGCTCCTGGCTTGTATAAGACCTGTTGTGAGAATGTTTTCTATCATCAATGTGTACAAGACACCGTCCAGTACTACTCATTTGCCTGATAAGAAATAATTGTTTTTCTACTATGATGCCACAACACTGTGTCTCTGAACCAGCTGATCTGGGGCCTCTGGATCTCCCCTGGTTGTGCAGTTACTGCCCAGCAGCTAGGATGGTTTCTGCAGAGCTACAGCTGTGAACCACCAAACAGCTCTTCTGCCCTCTGTAAAATTCTTATCTTAGCAGTAGTTCTAAGCATCAGCTTTTTACTATTGCACAGGAGAGGAGCAGGAGATCTGTATGGCATTGTGCTAGCTGGGGATGGTTAAGGAACTGTCCCTTTACCAGTGGATCATGCTCCAGTGCTTGCAGACTTCTCCACATATGTGTCTTCCTGAGAATCACAATGAAGTGCTAATAGCTTGTCACGGCTGGCCTGGGCTGACTTCGATGCCTTGGCCTAGAGGTGAGATTCTCCATGAGCCCTTGGAATCTCCTGGGTTTCTGCTCAAAATAAAATTGGCTTTCACCACCTGTGTGGTAACAAGCAGTGGCTGAGTGTGGCTGCATTGCGTCCAAATAGTTTTCATGACTTAACTGGGTGATCAATCCTTGGAATCTCTGGCATGGTGTAGCCCACTGTTGGTTGACAGCCTTTAGTGCTATTATAGTTCTAACTACTATTAGTTTTGCAGCCAAACCCTAATCAGACTGGGGCAACGTGAGTGGAGCACAGTTGTGTTAGACTGGAGTCATGTCATGTGATATTGTCTCCTACAAAGCTCAGACTTGTCTCATTACCCAGAGCAGAGCACAGTCCTCCACAGCTGGTGGAGGGGTAGAGGCAGACATTTTCAGTGCCAAGGAATTTGGAGACCCACCAAAGGTCTCAGCAGTGGCAGTAGTGAATGGATTGTGTTATTCCCCTACCCTGGAGCCAGGTTGATGTTTGCATGTTTCTCTCCCAGGACTACACCATCACCATGTACTTCCAGCAGAGCTGGCGGGACAAACGCTTGGCATATAATGACCTTCCTCTCAACCTGACCCTGGACAACCGAGTGGCTGACCAGCTGTGGCTGCCTGACACCTATTTCCTGAATGACAAGAAGTCCTTCCTGCATGGGGTGACAGTGAAGAATCGCATGATTCGGCTCCATCCTGATGGGACTGTCCTGTATGGCCTGAGGTAAGTCTAAGGGTTGGTCTAATCTCTGTTGGTTGCAGTTGAGAATGACATCTCATCTAAACTTCTCCCTTTTCAAAGTTAGTCTTATAAGGCAAGGACCCAAAAGATGCTTTAGTGTTGCACAGTTTTAAGTATCTGCTTTTCCTCCAAGCTAGAAATGGTTGTTTCCTTCAGGTCTCCAAAGTTTCCTGTGCTGCTATAGACAAACGTTGGAGATGGGAATAGTCTGCTCTGAGCATTTCAGGTCACTGTCATTCATGTTGCATAACACTTCCATTTGAAACACTCATTTCCAGTTGCTTCTAATTTTCTGCTACTTTGGCCTATGGTGGTGAGACTTTGTTACTCTTGTATCTAAGGCTGAATTTCTGTAGTATTTGAGTCAAATTGCCTTAGTCATTTTTGAGTTTGAGATTGGTGACATGTTTTTGTACTGTTAAAAATGTCTCTTTACCAGTGCAGTTCTGAAGACTGAGGCTTGAAAGTTGATACCTAGTAGACGAATGGTCCTCGGTGAGGAGGCTTTTTGTGTGGTGTCTGGAACAAATTGACATAGGCAAGTCCACAGCCTTTGAAAGTGCTGTGCTTGTGTGTGGTGGAGTTGGCAAGGATTGGCCCTACTGTGTTATCTGGAGATGTGGAGATGCCAGAGTAGGTTAAAAAGTTAAACAGAGGGGACAGAGGGCTAAACGGGGTGGTTGCAGCTATAGGTATGAGTGCAGGTTTTGGATGCTGCAGGTGAAATCTAGGCAGTGACTTTCAGATCCCTATATTGCCTGCTTTGAGCTTTTCTTTTTCCTTTTCAACTACCAAAATTCACAGCTGGCTTTTTAGACCTGCCTCCATACTCACAAATCATTGCGATGGCAGCTCTGGGCTTATGTCCTAATGCAGCAAAGGGAGAGGAAAGACCTTTCTCCTTCAAAGAGGGAACACCCACCCTTCCCTTCTGCAGTATCAGCTCCTCTGCTGCTTTGTGTTTTATGGAAAAGTCTGACTTTTAATATTTTTTTAACAGTATTATTTCCTCCTCCTTAAATAGCTGGGCTATTTTGCTGGGGTAGGGCTGGGTGTAGGCGTAGCAAAGTAGAGGGATGCCCAGGGCATTATCCTGCCAGGGCAGCAAGGTGGCAGTGCCCTGTGCTTTCCTGATGGCAGAGCCCTGGGAAGCCAGAAGAGCAGCAGTCAGAAGCCAGGCTGTGGTACGAGGGGTGATGTATGTGCTGCTTTTCCCTTCCAATTAGTAGATGCCTCTTGCTCAAAGCCCAAACACAGGAAAAGGTGCCACAAGTGCCTGGCTATGTGACTCTGCCTCTCCCTTCCCAGGACATCTCTCTATTTTGGGCCAGTGATGTTATTTGGCTGGTGCTGCCAGAGAGCCCTGAGCCAGTTTTACTGACCCACCAGAAGGATGGCAGCCTTCCCACAGCTCACTGCCCCAAATCTCCTCCTTGTGTTAGAACAAGAGGAAGGGCAATAAGATGCTTGGGGTAGGTAGGAGCATAAATTCAGCCTGTTGGGGAGGAGGGGGCAAAGAGGGTTGTTAAGGTGAGCTCTTTGCTGCTGAGCCAGCCCAGCTGAGTGTAGAGCTGCCTCCCCCAGGCTGTTGGGAAATCTTTGCACACACCTGCACAGCAAAAGAAGCAGAAATACTAGCTCAAATAAGGAGCAGTGTGAACCCTACAGCACAGGTGATAGGCAGGTTTGTACTCGAGCTGGCTGGGGCTGGGACACCGCACAAGCACCTCCCGAGCTGTCCCTTCCTTTCCCCTCCCACCGGGCAGCATCTCGGGGAAGGGTCCTTGGCTCCCCCGTGTGACCTGTGTAAACGGTGAGATGAGGAAAATTCCACCCAGGAAAAGAAAAAGAAAATGACAGGTGCTTGCTCCTGTTGTTTCCAGGGCCATAGTAAGAGCAGCCTGCATTGTTTTAACTTTTGGCTGGTTTTCCTGGAAGCTGCTCTCTTGCCCCTGGAGAAAATGGCAATTTCAAAAATGAAGCACTGAGCAACTGCAGCTCCTGTTCCTGAATTGTGTCAGGATGGCTGGCTTTTACTACCCTGAAAGCACTGGGGTTTTGGAGGGCAAGCCAGGTGCTCTAGATGTCTGGGGCCCCTCTAGCTTTATTGGTAGGGGTATGGGCAATGTTTTTATCAGGGCTGCTTTCTGTGCTGCCTTCTGCACCTGCAATCTTGCTGACAATAGAAGTGCTAGGTGCAGTTTTGCAGGTGCAAATAACTGTGATGCTATTAAAAATATATATAAAGCCAGGTGCACAGCAGATGTAAGCAAGTAAGTAAACAGTTATGGAATATTCACCTGTGTTCCCTTTATCTTTGTAAAAATGCACCCGTGGTTGTCCTGCAACAGGAGGAAAAATGCAGGTCCTTTCTGTATTCCAAAATCTGCTCGTTTTATCCTGCATTTTTCAGAAGGAATCATAGAATGGAGTTGTTCTCATGGACGAAGGCCAAAGGAGGCAACTTCTGTTTCTTTTCCTTTGTTTGCCTGTTGTTTTTTCACCCTGAGCAAGATGCCACAGCTCTTCTTCTTTCCCTGCTACCTTCTCACCGGTCACTTCACCCTCCTTTGAGCTGATCCTGTAGCAAAGTGACTCAATCATTCTATTTGTGGCACAATAGTCATTTTTCATTTCAGCAGCCTCTGTCAGAGGCTGGCGAGGATGACACCCTGGCAGGCCCCTGCCTTCAGCAAGTGTTCAAGTGACCAGCAGGATCAGGCTCAAGCACTGGATCAGACCTTCAGGTCCAAGTTAGGTCACGTGGAAGACAATGAGTATTTTATTTCTGACTTCAGTGAGAGCAGGATCAGGCTTCAGATAACTTGTTTGCAGGAGTAAATGAAGCCTTTTATTCCTCCACTTCATTCCTCTGTGAAAGCTGTGTGTCAGAATAGCATCTGTTTTTGGTAGAATTAGCAGATGAGTGGCTGAAGGGAGGGCACCAGATACAACACAGCAGCATCTTAGGAAAGCGCTCGATACAAAAGCTTTGCTGCAAAATTAATTCACCCAGGGCTCAGATTAAAAGCTGGTTGCCAGGTCTCCAACAAAAGGAATGCATAAACAGCAGTGGGCTCCGCGGGGAGGGGATGCTGGGGGGCTGGAGTTGAGACTGGTGCTCCCTACCCCTTCCACAACCAGTCAGCAGATGGCATAAATCCCAGCTGGGGACCTGGAGTCCTGCTCCAGCCCAGAGGGCACTCTGGTCTCTGAAAAGACTCTGGTGGGAGGATGCGAACTGGCAGTGTTTTTAGGAGGTGTAACCTGGCATGATGGTGCCTGAACTCGCCTGGCTCCCCAGCACCTTGCAGGAACTGGAAGTGCCTGGGAAGCACAGGAGAGCAGGGCACCTGTGGCAGGCAGCAGGCAAGTGACAAAACAATGTGGAAATTCTGCAATATGAAGGGAGGCTTAAAACAGCCACCCACAAAGACAAAACAAACAGTTCTTGGGTAGTGGAGGGGGCTGGATAAAATAGTGAGGAAGAGCTGGATAGCACTGGCTGACTTCAATATGTTTTTCCTCTTAATGGCTTTTTTTTTTTTTCAGAAATTGCATTCATTTCATCAAATTTTAAACAAATAATTAGAAATTTTTCATTTATGAAAAAGCATTTCAGAGAACAATGTTTCACTCTTAATTTTCTGTAGAGAATTTTTCACTTGTGTCAACATTTCCCTCACTATTTTAGGCCACTTTGCTACCATTACTGATGTTTGAAGGTAGCACAGAGAACCACCAAAGGCTGCCCCTCAACCTCCAGAGACTCTCTGGACCATCCCTGACACAATATTCGATGAGTTTTACATTATCACACATGCAAGCTACACATTCTGGTCTGAGATTTTTATTTCCTTCTCTAGAGCATGTAGCATCTATTTGGTAATGAAAGAAGTTGACACTTGTCAAATGCTGATGTCACCAGTGTTTTCCTATCTCCTTTCAGAGATCTAAAAATAGAAACGACTCTAACAATGCTGGAATTGTCATATGCTAATTTGAAATCCTTTTGAAACCAGCTTTAAAACGTCCTTTGGGGAAATCTTGGAGCTGTTTGATTTCATTCTAGTTAGGGACAAAAGTGGATTCCAAGGAGACAGGTGCTGTGAGGAGCCCAGACTGCATCCCTGAGCTCCCAGGGGGAGTGGGTGGGCTGGGATGCTGGGAAGCAGGAGTGGAGCCGGGTGGACAGCAAGTGAGAGGCACTGCCTGGCTGGCGAGGAGCCCAGGCAATGTAAACTGAGCAACTGAAAAGCTGCAGAGGAATTTGATGACGGAGACTAAATCCTGTGCAGAGAGAATGAGGGATCTCCTCCTGCGAAGGTGGGAGTGTTGATGAGCATGTGCGTGTGTTTTGTGGGGTGGTTTTTTTTATCCCTGTCCATGCTAGTCACTGCAATGAGGTGTGTTTTGGAGATGAGGTAGTTTGGATGCATGCAAAGGTGGAATAGCAGGGCTCTGAGCCCAGTGCCCTCCTGAGGAACCAGGTCCCTGATATCCTCATCAGTGTAAATACCTGTTCAGTGCTCAAAGCAAGGGAGAAAAAACTGTCATAGTTCAAACAACTGAAAAACTGCAGTTTTAAACTGAGAGAAGCTGGATGTATCTGCATTAGCAGCACTTAATTTCTGCTTTTCAAAGGGGTAAGTTCCCAACTTTCAGCTGCTCCTTGCAAGGCAGCAGCTCCTGGAGGACATCAGCCCTGGCATTGCAGCAAGCAACTGCTAAGCTGCCCAGGGACCAGACCTTGTTCACAGGCAAGGCAGCAGCTAGGGCCACTTCTAGCTCACCTTGCATAGGGAAGCAAAGCAGGTTAGCAGTTGTATGTCAAGCATCCCACCTGCTCACTCATCCAACACCAGGTACACTGTCAGACCCCCCATGCCACCCTGCTCTATGGTGCCACCAGGGCAGCCCTGCCTGCTTCTCACAGCTGGGGCTCTGCTGGAGCTCCTCTTGGGGACTTCTTCATATCTCCA